GAATCATGGCGATCCTGGCTAAGAGTTCTTGTCTCCGAGTATCGCCTTCGGGTTTTGGAGGGTCGGGATCAGAATCAGAATCTGAAGTTCCGTCTCCCGATTTGGAGAGACAGAGAAATTGGGTTCTGGAGATGGGATGTCTCGAGGCATTGAAAAGAACATGGAAGTTTGGTGTTAAGGTTGTCTGAAATGCATGAAGTGTGTTCACCATCTTTCTATGTTTCTGAAGAAGACGAAGAAGAAGAGAGAGGCTCGTTTCACAGTAACCTCTCGTTCTTTAATTTAGTTTACGCATTATCCAAAACAAGTTTTGAGTTTTAAAGTGTTTGCATAAGAGACCCTATATTTGAGAGATTATTATTGATAAAGTCTCTTACTTTTATTCGAATCTGTTTAGTAAGATGCATAATGCAGATAACAAAGAATAATCACACGAAATCTTAAAAATCTTACATATTCCACTAATCCACTTATTATTTTTCAAAACTTCTTTTTAACCAGTTTAACTAAAAGAAAATTAGAATTCTCTTAGGTAATAATCAGTATGCCTTTCTTAATCACTTCAAATTCACAATCTTCTTGTATTATATCTGGCTTGATAAAAAATTGACCACATGTTAAATAATGGTTTAAAACATGTGTATTGATTAGCTGTCTTGTGTGACTTAATGGAACCTCTAATTATGTGTTTTGATAAAGATTAGCAGACCAGCAAGCTACTAGAGAAAAACTCTATATCCGCGGCTCCTAATCAGATCCGGCGGGTTTACGGGTCGACCCGAAAAGGTTGATTCTTCTTCTTCTTTTTTTTCCGCTAAAAAGTTCAATTTTTTTATAACAGCTTTTCGAATTTCTTTTACTCACGACGACTCTTTTCGTTTGGATGCTTTTTGTTTCTCATGGTTAAGTGGACTCGAGACCTCTGTTCTAGCTCCGGCAAGGTTCGTTGTTTTGTCGGATTGCAGTCTCAATCATGTATTTCCGAGTTCTCTCGACACCGTCCTCGTCCATGTTCGATTCTTTCTCCTTGGTACGTCGTTTGAGTTCTTCCACGGAGTTGGGTCGTCGAGTCTATGGACATGTTTTGCCCAACCATGATCAGATACATCAAGGTCTTCTGGAAATTTGTTTGGAGCAATGCAAATTATTCAAGAGTCGCAAAGTGTTCGACGAAATGCCTCACAGACTTGCACTGGCCTTGAGAATTGGCAAAGCTGTCCATTCCAAAAGCTTGATACTTGGAATCGATTCAGAAGGCAGGTTAGGCAACGCCATTGTGGATTTATATGCCAAGTGTGCACAAGTTTCTTATGCTGAGAAGCAATTCAACTCCCTTGAAAAGGATGTTACGGCGTGGAACTCAATGCTATCGATGTATTCCAGCATTGGCCAACCAGGAAAGGTCTTAAGGAGTTTTGTATCATTGTTTGAGAACCTGATTTTTCCAAATAAATTCACTTTTTCGATTGTTTTATCAACCTCTGCCAGGGAGACTAATGTAGAGTTTGGTAGACAAATTCATTGCAGTATGATAAAGATGGGGCTTGAACGCAACTCGTATTGTGGAGGGGCTCTAGTTGATATGTATGCCAAGTGTGACCGTCTTGGTGATGCGCAACGAGTTTTTGATGGGATAGTGGATCCTAATACAGTTTGCTGGACATGTTTGTTTTCTGGCTATGTGAAGGCTGGTTTGCCAGAGGAAGCCGTCATAGTATTTGAAAGGATGCGGGGTGAAGGCCATCGGCCTGACCATTTAGCTTTTGTGACTGTCATAAATACGTACATCAGTTTGGGGAAGCTAAAGGATGCACGGCTATTGTTTGGGGAGATGCCAAGCCCAGATGTGGTAGCGTGGAATGTAATGATTTCAGGGCATGGGAAAAGAGGATGTGAGATTGTGGCTATTGAATATTTTCTCAATATGCGGAAATCTAGTGTTAAATCCACCCGTTCTACCTTGGGAAGCGTTTTGAGTGCTATTGGGATTGTAGCTAATCTTGATTTAGGTTTGGTAGTTCATGCAGAGGCTATTAAACTAGGCCTCGCCTCCAATATTTATGTCGGCAGTTCTTTGGTTAGCATGTACTCGAAATGTGAGAAAATGGAGGCTGCTGCAAAAGTATTTGAAGCTTTGGAGGAAAGAAATGATGTCTTGTGGAACGCGATGATAAGGGGTTATGCACACAACGGTGAATCCCACAAGGTTATGGAACTGTTTATGGATATGAAATCTTCTGGTTATAACATTGATGATTTTACCTTTACAAGCCTTTTAAGCACTTGTGCTGTATCGCATGATCTAGAAATGGGAAGCCAGTTTCACTCGATTATCATCAAGAAGAAGTTAACAAAAAACTTATTCGTAGGAAATGCATTAGTAGATATGTATGCAAAATGCGGAGCTCTTGAAGATGCAAGGCAAATTTTTGAGCACATGTGTGATCGGGATAATGTGTCTTGGAACACCATAATTGGGGGTTATGTCCAAGATGAGAATGAGAGTGAAGCTTTTGACTTGTTCATGAGGATGAATTCCTGTGGTATAGTGTCTGATGGAGCATGTTTGGCTAGCACACTTAAGGCATGTACAAATGTTCATGGTCTTTATCAAGGAAAACAAGTTCACTGCCTCTCTGTCAAATGTGGCCTAGACAGAGTTCTTCATACTGGTAGTTCGCTCATTGACATGTATTCCAAGTGTGGAATCATCGAAGATGCACGTAAAGTTTTCTCTTCTATGCCTGAGTGGAGCGTTGTGTCAATGAATGCTCTAATTGCAGGTTATTCTCAGAACAACCTAGAAGAAGCTGTAGTTCTCTTTCAAGAAATGCTGACCAAAGGTGTTAACCCATCTGAAATCACTTTTGCCACCATAGTTGAAGCTTGTCATAAACCAGAAAGTTTAACTTTAGGAACGCAATTTCATGGTCAGATAATAAAATGGGGGTTCTCATCTGAAGGTGAATATCTAGGGATTTCCCTTTTGGGCTTGTACATGAATTCGCGCAGAATGGCAGAGGCTTGTGCCCTCTTCTCAGAGTTATCAAGCCCTAAGAGTATTGTTCTTTGGACGGGAATGATGTCAGGTCATAGTCAGAATGGATTCTATGAGGAGGCTTTGAAGTTCTACAAAGAAATGCGTCACGATGGTGCCTTACCTGACCAGGCAACATTTGTCACTGTTCTTCGAGTGTGTTCTGTCCTTTCCTCTTTAAGAGAAGGTAGAGCTATCCATTCTCTTATTTTTCACTTGGCCCATGACTTGGACGAGTTGACCTCTAATACCCTAATAGACATGTATGCTAAGTGCGGGGACATGAAAAGTTCGTCACAAGTTTTCGATGAAATGAGGCGTAGAAGCAACGTTGTCTCATGGAACTCCTTGATCAATGGATATGCGAAAAACGGTTACGCTGAAGATGCCCTGAAAATCTTTGATTCCATGAGACAATCCCATATCATGCCAGATGAAATCACTTTCCTAGGTGTTCTTACAGCTTGTAGCCATGCAGGGAAAGTGTCAGATGGGCGAAAGATTTTTGAGATGATGATTGGTCAATACGGTATTGAAGCGCGTGTAGACCATGTAGCATGTATGGTTGATCTTCTTGGGAGATGGGGCTATCTTCAAGAAGCTGATGACTTCATAGAAGCACAAAACCTGAAACCAGATGCAAGACTTTGGTCATCTCTTCTTGGTGCATGTAGGATTCATGGAGATGACATGAGGGGAGAAATTGCTGCTGAGAGGCTCATTGAATTAGAACCACAAAACTCTTCAGCTTATGTTCTTCTTTCGAATATATATGCCTCACAGGGACGTTGGGAAGAGGCCAATGCTTTGAGGAAAGCCATGAGAGATAGAGGAGTCAAGAAGGTACCTGGATATAGCTGGATTGATGTGGGACAGAGAAGACACATTTTTGCTGCAGGAGACCAATCTCATTCTGATATAGGAAAAATTGAGATGTTCCTCGAGGATCTTTATGATTTGATGAAAGATGATGCCGTTGTTAATCCTGATATCGTGGAACAAGCCTCTCTTGATTGTGTGTAATGAAACAAGGAAACACTAACGGTGAACAGCTTCTCGACTGTAGTTGGTTTTGTACAGAGCTGAAGATCACCAGATCAGTTCACAAAATCAGATGCAATGATAGGAACTCAAATTTCTCATACGAACAGGCGACTATGTTTCTTTCGCCTTTGGTTATGTGGACCAAGTTTTCATGTAGCCAAGAAAAACAAGGCTTTATTCTCTGTTCCTCGAGTACTATCAGATCAGGTAACTGGGTTTGTGTGCTGCCAAAGCTCAAGGTTTTACAGGAAATGAGACGAAAATCCAAGTGAAGGAAGAGAAGGATCCATCTCAGGTGATAGCCAATTAGCACAGTACAAGTACCTGACCTGGTGAGCACAAAAGGTGATTTAATTTCCTTTGTGGAACTTTGCATGTTTGAACAGACACTGTATCTGTATCCTTACAGTAAGAGATCTTGTTTGTTGCTGGAAGGAATGTAGACAAGGTGTGTTAGAAAACTAGTTGGCGTGAGAGGTGTGATGATTATTTCCATTAGCGCGTGTGACAAACGAAGATGGTCTTTTGAAACCGGACCTTGGGATTCAACATGACAATTTATCGGCTAACTTCTTTAAACTTTATCCATGTTTTATCATGACAATATAAAAGTCACATTATCTTTTTAGTATCTGCTTTCCTTTTGTTTGTGTCCCATGCTGAGTTTTGATTCACATTACATCAGTCTCTTTCTTCTGGTGGAGACTTATAAGCGACATAGAAGCAAGTGACAAATGATGGACACATGTGAATGCTGAGTTGTTTCTAGACATTTCAACTCTGTTCACGAGACTTTTTCTGTACTCAATTCACATTCATCTGTTGCAATAAAACATCAAAGTGAGAAGAAGACAAAGTTGGTGCTGGTTCTTGATTCCAGAAATAGAAAAATTGTTAAATGCACAACTCATCATCCAAATGGATCAAGAACAACATCAACAACCAGGTTAATTTGGCAACATACCAATAAGCTTACATCTTCTCACAGTTTAGATTTTACATGTGAAAAGTCATACCACAAAACCTGCAACTAAGTACACAAACATAAGAATAACTAAAGAACGATAAAGTAAAACAAGAGGGAAGAAGAAGAAGAAGAAGTTCCTAAATTTACACCACAACGCAGGACAACTTTTCAAAACAAAACCAAACTACTTACTCACTACTTCTTGCCTTGTTCAATAGCACATTCCTCAGGAACCACGGCCATTGACCGCCTAACACGGCATATCGTCCAGATATACAAAGCAAGCATTGTCCCTAAGGCTCCACAAGCAGCACCAAAAAACAAAGCACCAAGCATTTTCCATATACACTCACTTCTCCCTCGACCATCTTCCTCCTTTGAAACTTCATTCGGTTCAAGCGGCACTGAATGCATCCACATCGGAGGAGGATGCCTTATTTCAAAGCTCCATGAATGGAGAAAATGTGCCTTGGAAGAAGAGTTCCCATTGGCAGAGCTTAAACCCACAGTGACTTCACCACCTTTCCATAACTTGGCCAAGTCTACTGAGAAAGAGAAGAATGGATCCAACAGCTTTATCGAACCAGGTTTTCTGAATCGAACCATCATTCTCTTAGAACTTGCCTCATACTCAATCATACAGTTCAAAGTCCCTCCATTGTCCATCATCAAGTCACCCACAAAGGAAAGGTTTCTAATTTGGGCAGATTCAGGTCTACCAATTAAGATTCTTGCACAGTTTCCTCTCTTGGAGATATCAAACTCAACAGCAAAAACTGTCTCGTTCTTTGCATATTGTGATAGGAACCCTAAAGCAGAGGAACTGTTGTCCTTGTTACCAAACAGACTAAGATCCAAACTAGTTGGAACCATTACAAAAGCCAAGGCACCATCACTAATCTCACTGGACATGGAAGAAAACGAGAAGTGAGTCGAGAAAGATCTCGAATTCCTCTGTTTACCTTGGAAAAGATTGATGGGTTTCTTGTAAACGACTCGTCCAACGCTTCGAGTCACTGAATCAGTCAGCTGAATCAAAGAACTGTCATTGACCAGCTTCGAATCCCCAAACAGAGCAACACTCTTGTCAAAACTGGGAGATATAGCAAACCCATTGAATGAAAACGAGGAATTTTCAGCTGCAGACATCGTTCCATGTATCTGAAAGCATAAGAGGAACAAAAAAGATAAGGTTTTGGACATGGCCATAGCTTAACTGGGACGAGAAACTGGATCTATCTCTCTCTCTCTCTGTCTCTTTAGTTCTAAATGGAATTCTCTAGGATTCGAGAATGAAATCCATATTTCAAGAAGAAATAATGTTTTTAGTAAGTTGTGTTCTTGTTTTATGTGAAGAAGACGTTATACAGCTAATTGACACAAAAAGTAGTAAATATCATCTTCTGGAGAAAGCAGAGACATTGATTCGCTCTCACAGATACACTTTCTCTCTCTGTCTTAGTAGTGGTTGCTGACTAAGATTGATATTTTTATTCAACATTAATATTCCATACTCTCTTGTTTAGCCCCATTAATCTTTTTAGTATGACAAGTGTTGTATATGAAGTTTTGCTTAATACAATTTGTTTAGTTTTGAATCTTTTGATAGACACTCTAATGTTAACATGCATATATCAAAGGCAAATAAAGGCAAATGAGAAGACCATAAAACCTGGAACTTCTTCATTAATAAAAGAAAACATAAAACCAAAAGAAAAAAAAGCCTAGTACTGTAAAAAAATGCGTGTGTTTTTAGTCTATTTTTTCATTATCAAGATGAGAAAATACTTTGAACTCATTCCACGAGCGAATAATACCCTCGATGAGCCACTCCTCCTCGAGTATCACCTCATGATCAGCATTTGTTCCGAAGGAAAGAGTATAATTCTTAGCATTTGCTTTCTTCCACTCAGAGAAAACCTCATCAAGCTTTGTATCCAACCAGTCTAGCTTAAAGCCCGCTTCTGTTAGCTCGATCAACTCCCTCTTAGCGCTGACTAGCTCAGTCTCGGTGAAGCTATGCGGAGGCTTGTCCAGTGTCTCAATGAGGCCGAGGAGGGTTGTCATGTACGCATTCTTCACCAATTGGATCTTCGGTTTGAAATTCACTTTAATGTCCGGGTGCTCCTCGAAAAGCCGACTCACTGAAACAACCTGTCGACAAAAGATATATGTTAATAATCATCAGAAAAGGGAATCATATCAGAAAACAACAACAAGGAAGGATACCTGACCTGGGAATAAAAAAATTGGAAACCAAACAGATCTAACATCTCCATGCCAGTTACTTGTGCTTCATCAACAACTTCAACTACTTTTATATCGACTTTAATGATCAGTTTGTTCTTCTCCAGGATCCATTTATCTTTAAGAGGCAAGCCCCTTGACTCACCCCATTTTGTGAACTGAGCGCAGAACAATCTGCAATTTTCATTCGATCTGTAGAGCTCTTTGCCAAATTGATCTAACAGGAGGACTGAATTATTAGCTCGTCTTTTCCATCCAAGTTTGAGTGATTCAGGATTCGCAACGCAGAGGAACAGAGCCAAGTGATCTTCAACAACAGTACCGTATCCTTTGGGATAAACTTGAACAACCCTTTTAACAAAGAAAAAAGAGAAACATATTTTAACCAAACGCTTTACTTACTTGTAACAACAGAGACGATGAGTTATAAAAAAACACAGGTATATGTATATTCTTTACCATTCGCAGCCACCGCTTAAGAATATAGGAGACGATATCACATCTTCTTTCTCCCACAAGTTGTCTATCTCAAACGTGAAACTCGTTTGCTTTTGATTCTTCTCCATATCCGATCCCATTCTTAGGGTTTCTTTCTTTGAGCGAGAGCAAAATTCACCCATATTCTCCCCTATCTTATTATTATTATTATTATATAAAGCTTTTCAAAATCCTAATCCAACCGAAATAAGGAACCTTGAAACCTAATCCCCTGAGCAAGCACGAATTTAATAATCCTAGCCCACCAAAGATAAGGGACCCAATTAATAATCTTTCGTATATACTGTAGTAAACCAGGGATTAAACCGGATTTGTGCCTTTTTTTCTGGTAAAAATGTCACTTAAATCATCGGTTTGCTATTTTCGTTGGTTTAAAGCATGAACTCTGAAGCTGGTGATTTAAATCTTCATTTAAATTATGTGATGGCTTCGAAGTGCCAATTATGCGATGACTTCGTCTTATTGCTCCGTTTAGCCAGTGAACAATGTGCCTCAATTGGTTTAGTCAACGAGAATTTGTGATATGTCCGACATGGTTTGCTGCATAGCTTTGAGGGTTTCGGCCAATGATGTTTCAACGGCGTCTCCTCCGGACATTGTCGCTTATCTCGGAAATGTAGAAAAGAAGAAATCTGCCCACTCAAGAATCCTGATATCCCCACAGACGGCGCCAAAATGTGGAAGTCGGATTCACACACTCAAGTATTTTGTTAAATGGGAAAGATTATTCTTGAGGGACAAAAATGAATACGTAAGAACTTGTAAATTGATACGAAAATTGCTATATTATTTCTCTCTTTTTTTTAGGTGGTCCCCCCTTTACATGGCCACTGGCCTCTATATTTATACATAGCTAAACGACATTTAAAATGAGTAATTAAGTACAATTATTCCTTCTTAAATGTGTCCGTTTTGATTCTTCGGCTTTAATGCTCAACGTTTGAATTTGAGTTGACTCTGATCTTCACGGGCCTCGCCTCTTCTGGCCCAAATGTCTTCGAACCGACTTACCCGTGTCTTCTACACCGAACTCGCGTCATAGTGCAGTCACTTCGGGTTATCTAAATGGTGACAACCACTTCGTCCATCCTTTCGGCTCGCGGGTCCAATGGGCTTCATCCTTTATGGGCCATTATCCTGATTACGTGGCAATCTTTGGTTGGTCTCGTACTTCTGGTGCGGGATCCGACACCAACACCAATATCTCAATTTCTCGTAGAATTATACTCACAAAGTCACAAGTAGTAAAACACAGAGGAAAACAGAGGAATATTCTAAATTTTGAAAGAAAATTATCTTAGGAAAAAATACACACATGTAGTACATATATCCATAAAACCTTAACAACTCTAACACTAAATCCATTTCATCGATAAATAATTAAGTACAATTATACAATTAGAAAATTGAGTTACAAGTTTCAATTAATTTTTAGTAAGGTTGTTAAACGGACCCCACCATATTTATATATTTACATTTTCACCCCCAATATCTTTTATGTCCTAAGACACCACCCCATAAATAGTCTTAAAAAAATATCCCTTTTGCTTCTCTTTAGTATTTGGTCTTCTCTCAGACTCTCTCTCTCTCTCCTCGCCCCCTCTTCACCGCAATTTCAGACAAAAATATGTCACGAAGAGCATGCAAAAGAGTAAGCTTTAATCCGAACCCAGAAGCCACAGACGAACCCATATTCCCAAAACACGACGGTTTAAGCTCGTCACATCACAGCCGGAGAAGGGTGGTTCTCTTCGGAATTCTCAGTTTTGGTCTAAGGAGCTCGCCGGCCGCCAGGAAATTGATCCACCGTATTGGAGCAAGATTCACCAAAACGCTGCGTTTTATTTCCTTCAGAAGAAATGCTACTGATAGAAAAACGTCATCGTTTTTGTTGCCTTCGTCATCGTCTTCTTCTTCTTCGACTATTTATATGAAGAGGTCAAAGTCTGTAAGCGAGACAGAGTCTCACCGAGCAGAAGCTATTGAAGATTGCATTGAGTTCTTGAACTCTTCTTTTTCTCTTTCGAGATCAAACTCAGTCTCAACGTGGTCTTCTTGATTTGACCCGGTTTGGATTTGCGTCCGGTTGCGTCCGGTCAAACAGAGCTCTTACTTTCTCTTTTTTTTTTTCTTTTGTTGTTATGTTAGAGAATTGAGCATTGTATAGGAGTGTTTTAAATTTTGTTATTTTCAATTCAGAAAAATTTATTCGTTCTTGACTAGAAATAGTTATTCTTGATCTTCTTTTCAATATTCATTGCAAACCATATCAAGGTTTTAAAAAAGAAGAAATGGCAATATTCTTATTGTGTTTTTTTGGTATGACCACTAACTTAAGTTATCTTTAACGTACCATTGTGTTAAACAAGTTACGTTGGTATTTATTAAAATTGATGAATAAATTACTGCTCCTTAATTTTGTACCGACCAAAAAAACAAAAAGAGAGAAGCCAGGTTTAAAATTCAAAAGGAGGGGTCGACGTCAAAGGACCAAAGACAAGAAAGCTCATGGGAAATCCCCACTTGGCTTTCTTCTTTTTTTTACCCCATTACATTAATCAATAATAATAATTCTTGTTAAGAAAAACAAAAGGAAAATTCCAAGACATTTCTTAAAAGAAGGATGAAATTTAAATTCATCACAACAAAGTATAAGCGTTTCGGAAATTGTAGGTCCAAAATCTGACCTAACAAAAACAAAACGTATCAATAGTATCTAAAGAATCCAAGGAAGGACTTGCATTTCAAAATGTGGGTTCCTCTCTCCTCTCAAGACCTGCACTACCAGAAGGTTCAACAAAAGGTTTTATTGCATTGGCAAGAGAGCAAGACATAAAGAAAGATTCTTTGTCTTGTTCAAAAAGGTAACCATTTCATTAAAAAAAAAGAAAAAAAAAGAAAGAAGAGTATTAGGTAGAGTAGGTTGAGAAAGACAAAAGAGTAGTTGAATTTAGCCATCTTATATACAATGTAATCTTGCTTTGAAAACTAAAAGATAATATTGAGTACTTACAAGGGTAAAATATGGAGGAATCATAGATCAGTTAGATACAATGAAGATGAAGAAGGAAGGTAAGATTTTTTCCTTCTCCGAGATCACTTCCATCATACCTTTTAACATTGTATTTGAACAAAAATTTCCCGCACACTTAATAAAACCTAAGATAGTTTCTTGTCCATTAGTCAACAATTAGTGTCTTTTTTAATCTTCCGTCACTAAAATGGATTATTAGTTTACTTGTGACTGTAATTATTTATCCACTAGAACCAAACTTTACAAAGACAAAATCTATGGATCTATTTACAACATAAGAGGTCTCTAGTGCCTTATACTACAAGGGTAAAGTTTGAATCTTGATGATGTTCTTCATTCTGTTCAGCTGTTCTTCATTCTGTTCAGCTGTTCTTCATTCTGTTCAGCTGTTCTCCCAAGTTACAAAACATTTTCCTGGGCAGACAATCAGTACCACTAGTCTACTAGACCCTGGAAAGTTTGAAAATCTGAAACTATCAAGATTTTCCCGGGAAAACAGAGGGTGGTCACCGTTCTTCTGGAAACTATTATTACTCAACCGATATCACACCTGAGAAATTAGAAGTTTCCCAGACCTCAACACCTTCCATAAATTCCCGAGAAACAAAGAGCCGATCACCTCCTGCTTCAATTTTCGAAATCATCCCTCTCTTGGAATCATCTTCCTTGTCTACAAAGTTTCTTCTGCGAATTGGATCAACACTTGTCTTCTCCTTAACACTTGACCATACCTCTAATGCACCACCTCTCGCGGCCAACACTTGCTTTCTATAACAATGTACCACGCTGTAACCGCCTCCGTCACCGGCCTTCCACGCCCCGGGATTCTCGTCTGACATATATACCCATGGATCTTCGCCCAATTTACGAATGTCTGCCATTCCGAGGTCTCCTGACTTGGAACATACCTTGAAGAGGATCAATTCTTCAACGTCCACGTCCATATCAGCTAAGGCGTCTCCAAACCTAGTGCTTCGTCCCGATCCTGGCTCACTCGTTTCCCATACGATGTTCCTGGACCTTGGGTCCCAAATCCGGATGTAGCCAGAGCAACCAAACACTCCGCGTTGAACGGCTGATCCGACCAAAAGACCGTTCGTTGGCAGCCACCGGAGTTTCTCCGGTACTGTGGTTTTAGCCGAGTTTCCAGATTGCTGGCCAATCACGGCGGCTACTTGGAGCGTGGATTTGTCGATCTGGAGAATACTGTTCTCTCTGTGCAGGCAATCAAAGGATGCGAAAACTCCACCGACCGAATCGGCAATCGCAGCCACGCGTGCCTTATGGATCCTCGGATCCTCCGGATCAGTCCAATGCGTAGATCCGACGTATCGACCTCCAGAGAGATCGTAGAAGTGAAGCCCCGACGCGGATCCAGATCCGATTGCAGCCGCTTCACTCCACACACGGCAGATCGATGTGATATCATTGAGATGCGTACGGACGGTTCCAGCATGAGAAAGACTCCAATCGTAAACGGAGATCTGACCGCCGTGAGCGATCCACAGAGAAGCGTCTCCAGCAGTGGCGGTTAAAGCAGACGGAACTCCATCAGCAGCCGGTACGATTGTGGAGACTAGAGACGCATCGAAACCTAGCAGCGGCGGAGGTAACATCGCCAATCTGAGGAGTGATTCGACGCCGTAATACATAGCCTCATCGAGTAGCTCTTGCTTGGAGAAAACGCCGGAGGAATTAGCTGGAAGTCGACCAGTACGGAGGAGATTGAGAATGACGGCGAAAATTTCTGGGTCACGATCGATGAAAACCGGATTCGAGCCATGGGAGGTTGGAGTCGATAGAGCCGCAAGAAGAGAGTCTGGGCAAGATGACTGAATTGTTGACGCGTTGGTTTCGAAGATTTCGCCGCCAACGTTGAGCTTCACTCGCTCGCCGCCATCGAAAACCACCATCACAGTCCGGTTCGAGTTTCGATTTCAGCTTGAACCGTTTTTTACCAATTGGACTATAGGAAGAAAAACGTAATTGTAATTGTATTGATGACGTGACAACTTATATGGGCCTGGACTAATCTTTATTGGATAATTATTATCAACCCAAATATAAAAAGCCGAACAATCCTGATGGGATTTTATATATAGAAATGGGATTGATTTTAATCAGGGCTTTAATTGAAAGAAATGAAAAAGTTCAGGGTTTCATTGTTAGTTACAAGCTATTCTACATTGAAATTAAATTAACTCACAAAATGAAAAAGGAATAAAAGTCACGATACAGAGACAACACTATCACAGATTATACAGTGATCTGAAATTAGTTGATCCATGGTACTTCCTTGTTCAATTTCAAATTTACTGCTAAACTTATTCCACAAATGCAATCCATAGCTTCTCTTTTGCATTTCAAGAACCTTGACTTGAACCCTCTTTGAATCTTTCTCGGTTCTTGGAACCTTGAATAGCTTCTCAATCTCAACCCAATTCACTGGATAAAACGCAGGAGGTGTCATGATGGTAAAGTTATAGCCATCGGTTCCTTCCACGGCTCGAGCCACTCGAGAAACAAGATACGGTCCGTTATGACCCCAAACGTTTCCATTAAAAGTCAACGCGAATTCTTCAATGGATTTGAGCAAGAAAGGATGATTCTTGTCGAAGATCAAAACCGCATTGTTCAATCTTGTCCACTTTCTCGAAACCGGTTCGAGAGTCTGTGCACCGATCACGTTCCTAAGAGTTTTAAAGCTCTTTAAAACAATCATGTCCGTGTCTAAATAAACACCTCCGAATTTATACAGATAAGCGAGTCGCATGAGGTTTGATAGATTTTGAGCTAGAGAGATCTTTCCGGGATCTCTTTTACCTGTCTGAATCTCTTCAAGCCATGATTCTCCGGCTGTGTCCTTGAGAAGAAAATGCAAATCCGGTGTGACCGCCATTACTCTGTAACCTCGATCAAGAAACGGTTTCAAGATACTAAACCCTTGAGGAGAATCCATTGTGGATGATAAAATCATCAAACAACCTCGAGGATGAGATTTAAAGACGCTTTCGACAGACAAAATCTCTCTCTTACCGAACAATTCCGCAGGTGAGATCCATGTCATCATGAACTTGACCTCACAATCATCTCTTAAAAACTCTGTTGCTCTCTCTTGAAACTTCTCCGACACGCCTTTGCCTCCAAAATCTTCAATAACTTGAAGATTGTTATCAATCTCTTTGACTATGATTTGTTGCTTGATCGAATAGTTACTGTTGCCTTGATCACTTACCTCCTTCTCTGAGCTTAGAGGTAATAAGTAAGGAACAACTGTCTTGATCTCTATTGTCACCACTTTCGCCGAGAAATCTCCTCTCACCGATAAATTAGAGACGAGAACGATGGTGAAAACGACCAGAGCTATAACCGTGGAAGCAAACGCTGTGTAGAGTGATGATCCAGAGCGGTTTAACCTCCGGTGATCAAATATCGCCGTGACTTTCTTCGCGATTTCATTATCCATATTTTGGAAACTAAGTTAGAAAAATAAATCAATAGATTTTTTTTTGTTTGTGAGTTTTCTTGCTTGCTTGGGGTTGAAGAAGCTGTCGTGTTTTGAAAAGTTCTTAAGCAGCCGAAGAAGGCTGACTTAGACGTAGATTATTATTTGTTATGTAATTAAAATGGGACCATACGCTTAAATAAACGATCTTGATTTATCCACATTTCTTTTTTTTTCTTGCTTCATTTTATAAGGGCTAATCTCTAGACGACTTTTTTTTATCATCTCTTTGAATACATCCATTAGGAATTTAGGACTGTGTTTATTATTTTCGGATTGAAATATTTTGGATTTATTAAATTAGTGAGCACAGCTAAATTATCCATTATTTTTGTATCTTTTTATTACATGTTGATGAGCTTTAGAATCTTCTCGTAATTTTAAATAAATATTTCTTGTAAGGACAAAGCAATTATTAAGCTGTCTTTTGATATGGTCTTAATCTTTGATTACTGTTGTTAATTGTTAGGCCGCCTATGGTGGAATTTTAGTAGCTAAGAAAATTCTTACGAATGATAAACGCTTACGTTCATAGTTGACTGGACAAATTAAACATTTATTTCGTTGAATTTAACTATTTTGTTGCTATAACTAAGAAGGCACCTAAAGTCCCAAAGCGAGGTTTAGGTACTAGATGTGTGTGGCACTTTCCTCGTAGTTCATTTTGTTATATTTAGTTTCATTAGAATTTTTTTTTTTTATTTATTGTATCTAATCTATCCTTCATATTGTGTTTTTTTTTTCTAATGTTCTCGTACAAAGTAATTGAATTGGAAATAAGTCCACATACATCTTTCATCCAAACAACTTGTGAAGTTATGGAAGCATCTTGACTTTGACAATTGAAAGCTAGCATAGTTAGGTGCATAAAATCTGTTCCCAATATTTTACTTATCTCATTATTTGTCCATGATTGAAGTTAATAAGGTATCAATCATTCAATTCAAGAATGTTGCAACTCATGCCAATCATAATTTTAAACTGATGGCTTCTGACACTTTGGGAAATGTCAGACAACTACATTACAATTGATCAGATAGGCATCTTTGGTTTATTCATATATATCCTATATATAAGATATTAATACATCATAAACTAGTTAATATACTCAAGAATAAAATTGTGCTCTATTAACAGAAAAAATCATCTAGGATCCAACTCTGTGATGCTCTGAAAGGAAATATTAGACGTGGAAGTTGACCCTTGTGGAACGGCAGAGCTTTGCCCTTTGTAACGTTGCGTTGACGAGCTCTCCTGTGAGCTGCCTCCTTGGCCGCCTCTAAGACCGATGCCACGGTGGTTGCGTCCCTTGTTGACACCTCTGTAGACACCAGGTTCCGTTAGGGCATCCTCGTTGAGGTTAAGCTCTTTCCTGCAAAGCATCTCCACCACTTGCTTCATGTTTGGTCTCTTTTGCGCCGCAGCTTGAGTGCAGAAAAGAGCCACCTTGATGAAACGGGTCACTTCGTCTTCGGGGAACTTGGTTAGATCCGGATCTACACACTCTAGTAGCCTCTTTTCTTCTCTCAGCTTCCACACCTGCCCAAACACACAGTTTAAAGCATTGAGTTCTGCTTGCTTTCGCATTTAAATGTTATCAAATTGGTTGCTCAAATGAGACTACAACTTCGTATTTTATACACAAAACTTTTGCATTTGGGGTGTTTGCATTTACATTTTGAAAATGTATTATTTTTCACTTGTAAGAAACATTAACACAAACATAGAGCTATATATTGTGTTGAGGTACGAGGCTTTTAGCTTTACCCATTCAACAAGAACCATGTAATCGTCTCCAAAGGCGGCTCTGGTGCTACTATTACCACTTATGACCTCAAGCACGAGTATTCCGAAGCTGTAAACGTCCGCTTTTTTTGTCAATTGACCAAGAAGTGCATATTCTGGAGCCAAGTATCCCCTGTAATCTCAGTTTCATCAGCTGAAAATATACGTAGAGGAAAGATGGAAACCGATATGTTTATAGAGCGATTTATTACACTGTTCCAGCGACTCGGGTACTGACATGTGTGACATTGTCTGGAAAAAGCTTAGCCAACCCGAAATCTCCAATTTTGGGGGAAAAGTTTCGGTCTAGTAAGATATTACTCGCCTTAATGTCACGGTGAACAACATGAGGTTCAACTTCCTCGTGAAGGAAAGCTAAACCCGAAGCTGTCCCAACGCAAATCGCAGCTCTTTTGGACCAATCAAGCGGTACATATCTACTCCTTGAACCTGATATCACTCAAACAACATCAGAAAAAAACAGGACACAATGGGACTTGGTAGCCAAGAATGCAATTGTGGTTTGTAATAAAAGTTACCAAGCAAAACACTAGCAAGACTGTTGTTCTCAAGGTACTCATATACAAGAATCCGATTGTTCCCTTCGATGCAGCAGCCAATGAGGTTAACAAGGTTAGGATGATGAATGTTTGATATCAAGTTAATCTCGGTCAAGAACTCGCGTGTCCCTTGTTTAGATTCTGCTGAAAGGGACTTCACAGCTACTTGTGTGCCATCTCTTAAAACTCCCTGCAAGATTCAACAACACCGTTTACGAAATTCACCAGAAAATATCAACATTTAAGATGATTTTTTATCACCTTAAAGACAACTCCATAGCCACCACCTCCGATTCTCTTCGTTGGATGGAAACCATCAGTGGCAGATCTTAATGAGTTATATGAAAAGACCCTCACATTGTTGGTACAGATCTCTGATTATTCAAAGAACAGAGAGAAACTTTGTGAGAGATCATCGAATGATGTTCGAAGCACAGAAGATTAAGATGAAGTGACTTGATTTGGTCAACCATTGTCGAATTCTACAGAATCACTAGTAATTTGTAAGCCAAAGGCAGAAACAAAATTGAGATCAAGATTTAAAACCCTTAAAACATGGTAAACACTATCAATCGAATTGTTGTAATATTATTACCTTCAGCTTCTCTTTGTCCAAGACGATCACTTCCTTTGCACATAGCAAGAAGTCCGAAACAATTATAACGCATCACAACCACTCGACAAAAATCCTCTGAAGAACAGAGGAAATATGATGGAGATATGAAATGAAACTTTTCTTTAAAAGAACCTCGATTTTGACCTGTCTCCTTGATACAGAATCTGGAAAGTAACGATGAGATTATAGAGAAGAAGAAGAAAATGGGTTTGCTAGTGGAAGAAGAAATCCATATTGAGTTAATCAAAGAGAAATAATAAGTTTGCTTTGGTGTGGAGTAAAATTTCTACTTTTTCGTGAGGTGATGATATCAATAAATTGTTGAGCATAACAAAACCAAACCCAGAACTCATGAACAGTGAATACTCTAAAAGGTATTTAATTTTGTTGTTTATGCTCGGCTGCTGATGCTAGAAAGTGACATACGACAGTGACAGCTACACGACGAGACTTTTATTTGTATTTTTTATTTTACTTTCCCCACGACGAGACTTAAATAAAAGTCGCATTGGTTAGATTTCTCCTTAATTATTATTTTTCCTGCCTGTAACTAAACCAAGATTATAATTTAAAAATTGAATGTTTGTTATGAATAATAGAGTTTTGGGGATTGTTATCTCTCATCAATTGTTCAAGATACTATATAAAGATACAACTTAGGGTTTAGGTTAGAGATTAAGGAGGGGTTATTTTTTTTTTTTTGAACAAACTAAACTTTATATTAATCTCTTACTCTCCATCAGAGGAGTACATGTTCCAACCAAAAGACAACAAAGCCAAACCGGCTAAAACGACCGCTGCTACCAGAGCTAAACGGAAAACAAACATGATAAAGATAGGGGCAAACACAACACTTAATCCACTAAAGACAAGGAGGGGTCCTCGAAGCTTGGCGCCAATAGTGCTAAAAAGTGAAACGAAGCCTTGGGAAATATAGAACACAAATAGTGCTCTTATACCCATGATTGAAATTGCAACAAGTGCAGATTTAACAATCGGAAATTCGGCAGTAGACGCAAAGGTGACAAAGCACCATATAGCTGAGCCTGAAGATAGAACGAGCATCAAAGTGTATAAGACCTTCGACTTCAAACTCCTTGCAACAACACCACTTGAACCAAGTGGAAATTTTGGGAGGAGTACATACTCCATAAAGGAGAAATCAACCAGTTTCACCGGAGAAAAGGACAATAAGTTAGTTCAACCAGTTTCACCGGAGAAAAGGACAATAAGTTAGTTAATCCAATCTACCACAAAGGAATTAAACAAGACTTCATATTGCAGTAAAGGATCGCACCAAGGCGATAAACTTGCCACTTAAGGACATACGAATACAATCCACGGCAAAGTATAAAGTTATCGGGCTCAAAGAACAGTACAGATGCATAACCTGGCAACAATGAAGAGAAGGAGAGCTTGGGGTGATGAAAACCGAGCAAGCAGCTCCAAACTCTACTGCATGGGCAACAACCTGCAGAGCACACGACAGAGAGGCAAGGGGGAGACTGGGAAAAACCAGGTTCTGTGACCTTGGCGGAGGATATTTGGCAACGGGAGTAGCCTTAACAAGGGATAGATGGAGGTGAGCTTCTGGATCTTTAACACGGTGGGGGATGAAGACAGACGGCAAGACTCGATGAGCGGCTGTGAGTGGCGGTGAGAGTAGATGAGTGATGTTGAGGGGTGACGAGGTAAGCAGAGAGGCCAAGACGACACAGATCTGAAATGATGGAAGGTCTGGTGGATCCGGTGGTTCAGGTGGATCTGGTGGTTCCGGTACTGAAGGAAGATCTGGCCGCAAGCTCAGAGAAAGTCTCAGGCTAAGGTAAGCGAGACGAGCTGACGAATGGGGACGAGGAAAATTCATAGAGACCATCAAAAGAGAAGCCATCGAGATAGAAACCTCGTCGGAAGAGCCTTAGGTGACTGCTGGGAAGGCTCGAGAGAGAGGACTGTTACCGATTAGGAGGGAGGGAGGGAGGGACACCGGAGAAGCTTTGCTGGCGGGAGAACGTCATTCTGGAATCTTCAAGCGGTTCCTCGGAAGCATTAGGGCGAACTCCTTTTTGATTTTTCTGCAGCAGGATTTTCTACTAAAGAGGGGTTATTGGTTCATTGATTTATAAGGAATTAGAAATCCAAACAAAAATTATTTGTTATTTAATCATTGATTTTAAAATCCTAATTAAAATCATGAGTTATTAGTTCTATGATTTATAAATACTAGTTAAAATCCTATGTTATTCATTGAGTCATTTGTTTTTGGATTTGAGAATTCAAATTATGTTTTAAATGAATTTGTATGGAATTGAAAGAGAAAAATAGAAGGATTCAAATTCATGGGTAAACACATGTTATTTCAAAATCTATATATCTTGATTTTATAACTAATAGAAAATTCCAAATCCTATATGAATTTACAAATTAATAAACCAATAACACCCCGTAAATCTTCTAGAACTCACTAATGTGTCATATAATGGACAACCACATATTACAAATAATTGTTTATAACAATGTTTTTTTTTTAAACCTTTTTATGAATTTCAATGGATTTATACCTTTTTATTTAGAACAAATTTAAGCCACATATTTAAGTTTAGAAAGGTTCATACATACCTAATTATGGATTAAGAGCGATAGTAATAAACTTTTGTTTTATCAAACTACACGGCACATTAATTTGACGAAAGTTCTTCTCGCCGTTCAGGGGCAACCATGCATTTATATTTTTTCCAACATTTTATATTTTGGTAAATAGAAACAAAATACGTCATCAAACTAGCTTTTACTCGACGTCATCATTACGCTGAAATTAAATCATCCAAAGAGAAAGTTCGAAATTCCAATTCCCAACTCAAAGATCCAAAAAGGAATTTTTGTTTTCACATTGCCTTGCGTCTTTCTTTCTTTCCAAAAAGGAATCGTTTATCAGTAGTAATTTGATAATTTCTATTGATCAAATTTAAGATTGGCAAATGACATCATCGTTCCACGAAATGCGCCATTCTTTCTTATTTGCGCCACAAAATCAAAATTTGAAAAAGTCCACCTTGTTGGCAAAGGTAAAATAATTTTAAAATGTTTTTGACCAATTATCATTGAGAAAAGAAATCTTTATAAAATTTAAGTATTAATTAAGAAGTATAAACACGATTTTGGTGGAGTTGTGGCATGTAACTACTTACTGGTCACTTAAGGTCTGATTTATTGTTGTCTCTAAACGTGAAGACGATTCAACGAATCCAAATCCTCACAACGACTCGTTCTTCTTGACTCTCATATAAATCTAAAGAGACAAGTTTATGAAGATTTACGTTCCTTTGTTTACACTTGTAAGAAAACCCAAAACCATTTTCATGTCGCTGCTTCATCCCTGCATATAGTATAAAAGATTCAAATATATATTTGGAGATTCTTTTCGTACAATTTTTTTGAATCGGTCATGTTGGAATTAACCATTTGGTACACTTTTTTTCTTTTAGTCCACAGCTTGAATTACTATGTTGAACTAAGAAGTGGCTTTGTAAAAGGACGGAGTAAGTGAAACACTCTAAATGAAAAGACGATTCAGAGGATCTTCAAATACAAGAGATCATGTCTCCGGTTCCTTTTTTACTGAAGTGCGAGATTCAAATGCAAAAGGCCAAATCAGAGGGTGTCGAGGTGAAGATATCAAGGCAAAAGCTTATGGTTGTGGCCATTGTGTATCTCTTTTATTTCTATGCTCTCTTTTTCTTCTTTACTATTTCCATGCTCTGTTCTGTTTCTCGATTCTCACTTAGTTCTATATCTATAATCGTGAACTTGGTTAAAAATGCTTAAGGTTAAAAATTCAGACACATCCTTTAGCAGTTGCTTTCTGAGAAAACATTTATCAAGGAAAAAAAAAAAAAAGACATTTGATACCTGAGTTTCATATATTATACGGATGATCACTTAGAAACAAGTTGCTTCCAAGTGTGAGAACAAAAAACAAGAACACAGGATACATAACAATATGGGTCAAGATGTGAACTTGGGGAACTGGTTTCGAGGAGAAGCAGCATAGCTTCTCTCGCTAAGAAGATCATCATTTTCGGCTTCGTTCCCGTCTAAGCACAGAATGTTGATGTTGTCAACACTCGGTTCTGATGAACTCACAGTGCTGCTCGTGGCCACCGGAGAGCTTGAGACACTACCCGGCCGACTTCTCACACTGTACATTGATGATGCCGGAACTTTTGTCACAAGCGGCCGGAGATTTCCCGTCATGCCTCGTCTTATATCCTACACACGAAAGATCAACAATTGTGTTATTATTACCAGAAAGACCTTTAGGAAATACTGTTCTTGCGAGTCAGATCATCGAGCTTCGGCCCCATGTTTTATCTATAGCGAGCTTGTGAGAAAATCTTTACGGAGGATTTCAGATGTTACAGCTGACAAAAGCCTGATGCTACTCTAAAAAAGAAAATTTGACCAAATATTGTTAGACGTGATCGTACCATATGTCTTAAGGCCATGTCGATTGAGCTTTTGGAGAGGGTTCTACCATATCCAAGGCTGGTAAAAGCTGAGCTAGATTTCCCTGATCCTTGACCCCCGCTCTCGGTTAGCCGCGGTGGACCTAGTTTCCTCATGTTCACCACTCTCTCAACCATTTTATTACCCATAGCCACTGGGCTCAAGCTATCGCAGCTACTTCCGCCGTTGCTTGCCTTTGCTCGCCCACGCACACCAGTGAGACTCCCGTTGGTGTTCCCGATAGGAGCCCGACCTCTGGACGGCGAACAGGATTGCCTTCTTGCATTTCCGATGCTGCCACTGGTGGGGCCACCTCCGCGTTCTATGGAACCCGATCTTGAACCTGGTGCTGAGGCTACTCCAGGTCTGCCTCTTGAAGCTGACACCGGCCTGTCTGGTAAAGTCGTCCTCAGATTTGGTGGAGCTTCTAAAGAGAAACCAGGCATCTCTGGCGGTTTCCACGACTTCACAGTAGGAGAAGGAGAAGTCCCCCGGGACGGAGCCTTACTCGAAACTATTGATGGACCGGTCGGGGTTGAAGGCCTGCGGGTCGGTGTGGCCGGCCTTGATAGTGGTTTTTTAGAAGGTGCAGAAGACGGTCGAGTATTAGACCGAGTTGGAGTAGCTGATCTTGCGGAACCAGTCAATGGAGTAGTGGTTCGTGGAGCTGCTGTGGATGTAGTAGTGGTTCGTGGAGCTGCTATGGATGTAGTAGCTCGTGCAGCAGTTAAGGTGGCACGTGAGGTGGGTGTTGAGGATCTAGAGTTTGAAGCTCTGGTGGTCACGGGCCTTGTTGTGGAGGTTGTTGGAGTTGTAGACCTTCTGGTTGGTGTGGAAGGTCTGCTCGCTGACCTTGAGCTACCAGAAGAAGATGGTCTTCTGAGTCCAGCTACAGAGGAAGAGCTCGTTTGGGGCTTATTATTGTTCCCAGAGACGATCTCTTCACGACAGTTCCCTAGCTGCAGAACCCAACACAAGAATTTCAATGCTTATAATGACAAAGACAAACGTAAACTTGGACCAGAGGCGTTTCAAGGAAATGAATCAGTTCTGTCTAATAAGTTTGTTTATACCCGAGATTTAAGAACCGTGGGTCGAGAATTGGGAGCTTCGTGCTGATTCATTACACTTCTATGTGACTCTTTCTTGTACTGTGGCGTGCCTGGCGGCGTTAGCAGCCTGAACAAGAGACAATAACATGAGACCAATGATCCATCGAAGAATGAAACATATAATTTACTCTCTAGCACTAAGCTCAAATAACGTAAAACAAGAGTTCCTGGAAAATAGTTGCCCCTTTATGTAGTTGAACCTTAGTTTTGTGTTAATTTCAATCTAATTTGGACAAATTCAATTACTAGAAGTGTATATTCCTAAATTAACATTTCTAGTATTTGAATGCACAAAAAAACTTGAGATTATCCTTGCAAATTTCTGATACTAGAATTGATAATTTACAGGCGAAAAAAAAATGGAAACATTACCAATCGTAATCGGACTTCTCATTCTCCGAATAAAGGAAGTTCTCGGCGGCGGTTCTCCGGAGAGGATAACGTTGAGATGACGCCGTTTCGGAGACACCAGAGAGAGCCGCCGCGGCAGCCGTCAACGCTCCGTTGATACTAACATTATCAGATCCTAAAAGAGACAGAAAAAATTCAAACACCATTGCCAAATAAATTATATATAAGTTTTCATAAAACATTGAGAGGTAGAGAGAAAGACAGACCTGTTAAAAGAGAATCTGCTCTGTGTTCTTTCTCGCGACGACGCATCTCCAGGAACAGATAGAGTTCTTCATCTCTGTCGTGGGTCAACATTTTTGCGACCTGAGATTGAAGCTTTCTGGGTCTCGTGTCCAAACTTGCGCAACAACAAAAATCTCCAAATAAAAAGAAAAAGGAATCGGACCAATCAGATCTGAGATCACACTAAGGGGGGCCCTAAGAGAGCTTGAACAGCCAGAGCTTGAACAGCCACCAATGAGAATAATAGAAGCCACTAGAGAACAGACGACAACAACCCAAAACCGTTTTTTAATTGATTCAGAGAGAGAGAAGTTTTGAGTTGAAGAAGAAGAAGAAGAAGAAGAAGGGAGAGAGTGGGGAAGACGTTCTTCTCAACGAGATTTTTTTTTTTATATAATTAGTTCAATTTTTTAAAATTCCGAATTCAAACCAGACAACCCTTGGTCGTACCATATCTCTTGTTTTTTTCCTCTTAAATAATTGAATATGGGGTTTTGAAAGTTTGAACAGAACACGAAGCATCGGGTTCAAAACGCAGATGATCTAAACAAAGATCCCACCGGACACGTGCTCAGTCTTTACCCACGAACATGCTATTTAGTAATTACGAAAACACTACTTGTGCTCTTATGGCTCCAAAAGATTTATGGTTGCTGAAAGTTATGTGGTTAAAGCTGCAAAAATTGTATTTGAAAAAAGTTACTTCTTATTAACAAGATTCACCACACTCTAAACATTTTTACCCCTCACTAGATAGAATACAATAATGATATTGAATCCTAAATATCCAAGTGTATGAGCATAGTAGAGAACCATCAGTGAAAGTAACTTCTGATAGTTAAATAAATTTTAGGAAAAATGGCTACACAAGCTCTATCATTTGTTAGTGTCCTACGAATACCGTCCTTTTATGTTATTAGCTTTATTTTATTCATTAAAATAGAATAAAGTCTTTCCAAATACATTATTTTTATAAAATCATCCATTTTGTTCATCTAACATCGTGCAGGTTGTAATAGCTCATAGTTGTCGCTAACTAATAACTACTAGGTAGAGAAATCTCATTTTTAAGAAAAGTGTCTATATATCACACGTATAAGATATGCATATGTGTCGTTAGACATATCAATGAATGATTGAATTCTAATCGCACAAAACAATTTTCCAAAAACGAATAAAAACTTGATATGCATTATAATATCGAGTTTTAAAATTCATAAAAAACTATTTGTTTCTTATATGAATATTTGGTTTCTTGTGAACGCTTACCCGAAAAAATGTTGATTTTTCTTCCCGGCGAGTTTGCCGGTAGCCGATAGTCTATACGAAGCATTGACCACTTGCCAAGTATTTCCAATGGGTCGTTAAAATAAGAGATATACCATATTTTTATTCTTCATCGCTTCCAGTCATAGGCTCGTCGTGGTTCATGTCGTATCCTCCTCCATCGGGCCCAAGCACCTTAAACCTGGTCACATTGGTTACACAACATCCACATTAAACCAAATCATCGTTTGAATATTTTTGCGATGAGTTTTTATGGGTTCAATTTTGGTTATTAAATGTGGAAAGATGAAAACCTTTCTATGATGAATTTTCCTTCCTTGTACTTCTGAGACTTGTCGTAAGCGATTTCCTGAGGGAGAAAAAGAGAATTAGCATCAAAGAATCACAAAGAAAGTTGTTTACAAGTATGAGTTTTGAGTCTTGTACGTATTTCCAGCCAACAAGAGAGCCACAGCTAACACAGAAGATGTCAGCTACGGTGTGCCAACCAGTCAGCATGACGCGATGCTCCTTCTCTCCAACCGTCACATTGACACTAAGAATTCAAAAAGGGTTGCTAATAAATAAGGGAACCTTGTCACGAGTCCTTGTATGATAAAATCCTTGTAAGTAGTACTTACACATTGTCGAAAAGATAAGCCCTTCCGTGCTTGCAGTGAAATGACTGGAAACAACACAAGCAAAAACACAAAGACAAATCAGGTAGCTGTGTGATCAATTCAAGAACATAAATCGACTGTAGAAACACAAATCATGGTGTGTTCGATCAGTTCAACAGGAAACTAGAAAACAAGAACTGAAGGATCAATTCCCAAGTTGTTTGATTAGTAAGGAAATGAGGTGTTGTGTGTTTCAATCATCTGGCCTCAAGGGTCAATTCAAGAGCATGAATTGATCATTAACAACTGAATGGCAAATTTCCATTGTCCATGTTTTTTAATGATCAGTCTGAAACTGTAAGTTGTGTCTTTCAATCAGTTTTTAGAACAAAACTTAAACTCTGTAAACTTCTATATTCTGCAACGTTAAGGCTAACAAATGTATTAGACCAAAATATTAACAAGCAAGCAAGAGCAAAGTATAATGGTAGGAATAAGTGTACTAATATGGAAGAATCATGCCAAGAAATGAACCTTTGAGATAATGTCATTAGTAACTGCGAAATGTGTCTGACAATGCTTGCAGCTATAAACCAGTCCTTCGAGGTCTATCACAAATAGTCTTCCCATTTCGAACAAATCCACCAACCTGAAAAGGTAACAAAAACAACAACAACAAATCTCAATTTCCGTCACAGATCTTGACCAATACGCATAACAATTTGAAGATACGAAGCAAAAGCAACTGAAGAATCTGATCCAACACGCTATTAAAATTGAAGGGAAATCGATTGAACAGAGAAATAAACCACACTGAAACGAAACCACAAACAATCGAGAAACATTTCTCAGAACTAGCGAGAAAAATTACACAATCAACGAAGAACAGATAACCAAAATCAAGAGAAAATTACCAGAAAATAGTTTGCGTTTCACGAAATACAACATTAAATTGGTATAAAATGGAAAAAAAAAAAAAAAAAAAGGAGAGAGCGTTAATCTCGAGAAAAAGCTTTCGATCAAAATGTCAAAAAAAAAAGGTAACGAAATAGTAGCAACTAAGAAAACTTGCGTAGTTCGCAAGACCGCCGAGTGGAAAATGGAAAAAAAAAAGTAGGACAGAGAAACGGAAAATACCCCAGAAAATTTCCAGCGAAGACGAGAAAAAATTCGTACGACAGAGAAAATCGAGAAAAAGAAAATTGATCTTACCCCGAAGGAGAAACGCCAGAGCAAGGGGGAGCTTTCGAATTTTCCATGCATTTATTTATATAATAAACAGAATTTTATTTAAACAAATTAGCCAAGAAGGCCATGGGCCTTATTCTTTAGGAAATTAATTAAGAATTAATCACACTTACCACGCGTACAAGGTACAACAGTAATTTATTACAGCATTTATTTATTCCCGTGGATATGTCTTTTATGATTGGATGGCTCGTGTTCGAACCAGCGACCAAACCGGATCGACCAAGTATATTTCATTTAATCAACTGAAATGGAACCGAAACAAAAGAAATCGAAGCTAACCAGAACTAGTAGTACAAGAATATGTTACTTTGATTCCGATTTGAGAACGGAGTATGTGTTTGAAAAATTGAGAGTTCCCATAGAAAATCTTGAGGAACATGGAGAACAATTTTGGATTTGAATCTAGACCCATTTGAGACACCAGAAAAATTGTCAAGGAGGAGTCCTACATTGTATGAAAAAGGGGAGAAAAAAACGACCTTTCAATCTTTCTGATAAACCATTCTTTGGTATGAAGCAGATTCCTTAGCAGAGAATCTTGAGGAAAGAAGAAACATACCTTTTCATTCTTCTTCTTCTCCATTAGCTTTACTGACCAATCTTGCTTATTCTTTGAGGAGGCCACAAGACACGAGTGACCCTTCCTTGAATTAAACCCAAAGGAATCTGCCAAAACAAGTTATCCAGATCAGTCACATGGGAGCGAGGGACAAGCCTTGAAGATTATCATGTGCATCACCTACGTTAAAAATCTATGAAACTATGTGTTGGGGTTTGGAAGCAGAGAACTTACAGGGCCAAAGGTTCTTGAGTCTAAGCTGGAAGTTTTGTTATCTCCTTCTACCCAACAATGACCTTCTGGGACTCTGATCACATCCCGAGAACTACTTATCCATTCGCCAGGCATCCCGACGATCCTCTTTATGTATCTATCCCCGAAATTTGTCGGAGAGCTGCCAGAGATATGCACTTCACATTGTCAGGAGCTTTTAATGATGCATTTTAAAATATATAACTTAGAACACATACAACACAATGTCAGAGGAACATTACGAGACAGATTCAGACCTGAAAGAGCCATAAAAAGCTGGCAAAGGAAGCGAAAGACAAGAACAGAATCCAAAGAGTTAGGTTTCATGGCTAAATATTTAGACTACGTTATATCCAAAAGTATAGTTTCTTGGGGGCCATGTCCAGAGATTGAATATGCACACATTTCATGATTCAACCCCACAAATAGGAAAAAATCATTGGTAAGGTTCTAGTGAATAATATTTAATAAAATTGGGAATGCTGTAAGCATCCAAGAAAAGACATTAACTAGAGACCAATACGTAATCAAGTACTACTCATTATAGAGCTATCTTCTCTTGTCAAAGAATGACTGAAAATGGCATTAGAGCGAACATACCTGAACACTACAACATCACCACGCGCAAACTTATAATCCTTAAGGCAAAATTTGTCCACGAGTACATAATCATCTGCACTAACAATTGAGCATCTAATAAGAACAAAGAATGGACCAAAAAAGAAGCAAGAGTCTACTTTCACGAATATTTTCGCAAAAAGACACTTACCTAAATAAGAATTCCGCTGGGGATTGAATGTGGGAGACATGGAATCTCCTCTGACCGGAACAACGCTACAACATCTATCTGAAATGGTAAGCCCTATAATACTTCCAGTGAATGATTTCTTTGCCACTTGCCATAAAATATTCTGGATTCCCATGTCCAAGATGGCCTATCTAATAAACGATTCTCAGCAAAATTCATAGAACCATCTATCTGCAACAAAACCACAAGGCTTTAGAGTTGATACATCTTTTAAATGAGATTTCTAGTAGAAATTTACATAATCCATCAATAGCATCTTACAGTAACCTCAAAGTTTTCTACATCCAAAACAAAACAATACGATTATATCAAACATTTTAGATCAGATCAAACACTACAGTGTAAAACCACAGCATTGTCAACCAGTTAATGAATCGGTTTTTCTGAATCTAATCTCAAACCATGCTAAAATTAGTGAGCTAAACACAATCGATTCATGGAACTGAAAGGATTGGATTGAAACTAATCGAAGCGTATTTAGGAGAAAGACGACCAAAGAACAGTGAAAACCAAAAACGAAATTGTAATGTGATTGTAAGAACCTGGAAATTGACGAAATCCAGGAGCAAGAAAATGAGACTTGTAAAACTACCCGCAAATCAATTTAGCGAAGGGGATGAGAGCAGAACCAGAGCTCGCGACAATGTGAGGAAGAATCAGGGTTTCTCTTTTGCTCAAAAATCGACAGTCTGTTTGTTTAGAGGGTTTTAACTGGAACCATAAATTGGCCGGTTCAATCAAGAAGTTTGTGCGCGGATCTTAACTGGTTTTTTCCGGTTCAACACTATTAATCTCGACCGTTGGATCCCCGGTCAAAGGCCCGAAAGTCCCAACTTTTTTTTTTGTGTGCCAAAAAGTAAAACACTGGCTTGACCTGGAGCGTTTAACTGGAATCAGTAAATCAGATTTACCGGTCTTTGATATCGGAAGTGTGGAGGCGTTTAAGCTTTAAAGTCGAACCCAACATTTTATATCATAATTTGTAATAATTACAAATAACTCAGTACAATGACGTAAATCTAGTCCTATAGAACTATTTCACGTCTCTTGACAATACACAAACTTTCATTCAAAAGCAGATTGCAACACAGGAAACGTGAAAAATAACACTTTCTCCTCCAAAACGATGTACATCTCTGAAACTAGTGTATGATGAAATAAAACCTTTCTCATTTGATCTGAGGTTTCTGTCTTGTCTTCGTGAACTGTATGTCTCCGTTAAGAACAGCTGCTACGAATTTCTCAACTTCCTCCATAGTCATATCGCCTTTAAATGTAGCAAACTTACCTCGTCGAGGCTTGTAAGCTATTAGGAACTTATCAGAAGTTTTGAACTCTGATTTGTCAAGGGAGCTCAAGAACGCAGATTGTTTTGTTGCGTCTAGAAGCGAATAGGATACTGTGTCCTGAGAACCTGTGGTTGAAGCTTGTCGTCGAGAGAGTGATTTCTGGGATACCTGGACAAAGTATAGAGCCAGAGGATTATTGATCATCAAGTCAAAGAACCAAAAGAGTTATGGCTTGATGAAATACACCGCTTCACTTCTTTGAATTTATCCAAGACTGTGTTTAAATATAAATGCTGCCCCAAAGGCGTATAAATAGAGTATAGGGGTGATATATTTGCTTACCTTGGACATTACTGACTGCAACTTCTCTTTACCATGTGAAGATCTGAAGGCACCGATGATACAAACAGGAGTGTTCTCCCCACAAATAGAATCAAAATTTGACCTCAAAAGAAGAGGTATCGTTTCCAAGGACTCGCTAGGTGATTGGCCCGGCTGACTATTAGAAGAGACCTTCTTGTTCTTTTTCTCAAATCCTTCAAGTAATTTACCAAGTTCCTGGACAGCTGATTTCAGATTTTTCACAGTGATACCTGTTTTCAAGACTTGCTTCTCCCCATTCGATAACCAGCCAACTATTGCCGGAAACGCGTCAACCCCCAACTTTTGTATCTTTGGATCAGAAGTATCATGGACCTACAAGATCATGAGAAGAAAATGCTTTAGCTGACAAGATTTCATGTCTAGTGAATTCCCAATATTAAGTTCAAAAAAATTTGATGTCTCGTCTTTTAACGTGGACCAGGAAACCACCACCCCATACTTTCTAGGACCAGAAGAGTCTCGCAGAAACAATAACTGTAGGGATAGTGATGTAAGTGGAAGTTAGAGCAAAAATAGAACAAACCTCTGTGTTGTAAAAGACAAAGCGTCCATTGTACAAGCCACTCAGAACACGCCAGATAACAGGAGTGTCTTTCTTTGTTGACAGAAGCATAACTTTAGGAGTCCTTTGTGAGCTAACAGCAGAAACATCGAATGTATTCAGATCAATTCTTTTTGAGAATCTCGGTAGATGTTCCTGGCAGAAACTTTTCACCTTTTTTGCAACAAGCTCTTCAGTATATTCTGCTAAGGTAGCTTTGCCACTTGACGTGTATGAATAAACAAACAACCTTGGAGCCCTACGAGGAACTATGCCTAGTTGTTTGCAAAGAGAGGATTCTGTTTCACAATTTATACGCCCAACCTGTAAACATAAAGTTAAATCATGTAAACAACAAAAAAGAAAAACTAAACTTTTCGTCTAACACCAAAATCAACTAACTCGACAAACATATGTTTTACCTTTAAAGCTCCTTGCAACGACTCAGCAACTTCCTCTATGATCGATTCATGGTACTGGGTTCCCCTTTGAGATGGAAGATACGACAACACAAGCCAAGTCATCCCTTGGTCCAAAATTTCCTTCTTATAGACCTGAGAATTTATGGTTCTGATAGGTACTACCGTACTGCTCTTTGATTTAGATTCAGCCTTTGATGAGCTACCAAAGCCACCAAACTGCTCCTTTCCTTTAGAACTACCGCCCGAAAACATGGAAAAGATATCATCCATCCCAAAACCAAAGGAGCTTTCACTAGGACCGCCAAACGAGAAAGAAAACGATTTAGAGCCTCCCCCACCGCCCATATTTTGCCATCCACCTGGCCCTCCAAAATTGAAACCACCACCACCATGTCCACCATTTGAGGAGTATGAATAACCACCATTACCTCCGGGAAAACCCGAGTCAAATCCTGGCTGTCCTTTCTCATCTCCATAAAGATCATAATTTTTCCTCTTCTCTTCATCAGATAAGATCTCATAAGCTGTTACACATAAATAAGGGTTTAAACTTGTCAAAGCCAGATCAACATAAATTCATTTTGTGCCATAAAACAAGAAAAATCTTATAATGTACTAAAGGATTCATTTACAGGACCCATCTCCTCGGGCTGAAATTTGATACCCACCATTATTAATCTCAGCAAACTTCTCCTGAGCACCCTTGTTTTTGTTTTTATCTGGATGATATTTCAGAGATAGCCTACAAAACAATCACAAGGTAAATGAGTAAAGAATTCTATTCGTCGATCATCATTCGAATTCTTAACTTAATCGGTGACTAGAAAAGAAGGGTGCGTACTTGTGAAAAGCTTTCTGAATTTCACGCTGCTTTGCATCCCGAGATACTCCAAGAACCTGAAGATGCATTAGTTAATAATCTTTCTAATCAATGGCAAAAACTGCTGAGCAAAACCTAATCAATCAAGATTCCTCCTTTACTATACAATCCACAAATTGTCAACCAAATACAGAGCCTAATTTGTATCTGATCCCTAATTCCCAATACGAATCCGAAGTTAGCACCGATTCGATAAACAAAATGATCATTGAATTTCACTAATACTCGAAACCCAACAGAGCCAACCTTCAATGAGAAAGGAGATAATCAAAAGAAATCACCAACCCAATTCACAATTTCCGAGAGACTTGTGAATGAAAATAAAACGAGATGAATTTCAAATTTGGGATAAAGTTCCATGAAATTGGAAAACACCGTTACCTTATAAGGATCAACGCTCTTCGACTCCACATTCAACAACAACAATGTGGACACAAGAACAACAGAAATCGCCAATCTTGTTCTCACCATCCCGAATGTACAACCTCTTAATCTTCTTCTTTTTTTTTTATTTTTTGTTGTCAACGAATCTTCTTCTTCTTCTTCTTCTTCTTCTTCTTCTAAGCGGTGTCTTATTCACGGAGCTCAACGCTTCGGGAAAAATCGAGAAGAGACGTCATTATTAAATAGGTTCGCAGGGTTTAAAGGAAATAAATAATATTTCTCGAATGACCTGTTTATTATTATTTAATTTAGAGTATTTCCCATATTTAATAGTCTTACAAAAAGACACCAAATTTGTCAATTAGATTAAGAAATTCATGGGGGATATTAGTAACTTCAAAAACTATTAGGGTTCTTCCGTATTTCCCGAAAACAATTCCCGGTTGCTTCCCGTTCTCAATTTAAGGCGGGTATCATACGTGGCAAATTTGATGCAATCCCACGTATTTCCACCAATAAGATTTTAGCAAGCCGAACGATCATGGTTCGTTTGTGGTCACGCGCCGTCACGATCACGCGCTATGATTATTTGGGCTTATTGATAAAAGCCCAATACTCTGTAATCAGCCCAAACGAAAGTCTCCGGTTGGGTGATCGGAATCCGATCAGAGCGACGGTAAGTATATTTTTTTTTCTTCAACTGTGAAAAAAAGGGAAGAAAAAAACATTTTCACTATTGACATTGTTACGTTTCGGTTTAAAGAGCTTTAGAGAAGTTGACAGACGGAGAAAGAAGACGACGAGGAAGAAGAAGACGATCTTCTTTATTCTTCTCTTTTCTGTCTCTACCAGCTTCGTTTTCTTTCCTCCGCCGTGAGATTATATCGTCGTCGTAACAAACCCCTAGGGTTCATCCTCGACGCTTCCTTGGTTAATTAGGTAAACAATTTCGTCGGATCTGATGGCGTTGTCGGCTTCCGATTTGCCGGCGATGTACACGCTATTAGCAAATTCAATGAGCGGTGACGAGACTGTTCGGCGGCCGGCGGAGGCGGCTCTGTCTCAGTCGGAGAGTAGACCTGGTTTCTGTTCTTGCCTTATGGTAGCGTTTCTAATCTATGTCTCTTGTGGTTTCTGCTAATGTCAGCTTGATTTTACTCGCTCATTCCTCTGGTTTGGTTGCAGGAAGTAATTGCATCCAAGGATTTGGTGTCCCATGTGGACGTTAGATTGATGGCCTCAGTGTATTTCAAGAACAGTATCAACCGTCATTGGAAGAACAGACGAAATTCATGGTAAGTTCAGGTTGTTTCCGGATTTCGGCAATTTTACTTATAATTTTCTGTTTAGCTGGCTGGTTTAGATTCTTAGCTTTGTAATGGTGCGAGCTCTATAAAGTTACCACGCTATTTTTTAGGTGTTGACACTCTTTCTGGCAATTATTACAGGAGTATGAGCAACGAGGAAAAGAGTCATCTGAGGCAGAAATTGTTGTCTCACTTGAGAGAAGAGAACTACCAGGTGTTGTAACATTTGCTTTGTTTATTGATGACTGGTTTTGATTTGTTTTCCTTAACTGAACCAACTGAGACTGTACTTTGTAAGCATATCAATCTGACTTTGTTTGCTTTATGGCAGATTTCGGAAATGTTGGCTGTTCTCATATCAAAGATAGCTCGTTTTGATTATCCTAGAGAATGGTTAGCATTTTCACTTCATAGTTCATATTAACTTGACACTATCTTCCTTGATTTGCTGAGTTTATACATTGCGTGCTTCATGATGTCAGGCCTGACCTCTTTTCGGTACTAGCGCAACAGCTTCACTCGGCTGATGTTCTTGCTTCTCACAGAATCTTTCTGATTCTTTTTCGAACCTTAAAGGAATTATCCACCAAACGCCTCGCTGCGGATCAGAGAACCTTCGCTGAGGTGAGTCTGCTACTAACATCATCCCCTTATCAGTTTCCTTTCTCCTCTTGTATAAATTTATTGTTGGACGAAAGCTTCATTTTTGCTTTAGTTAAGGATAAGGTCCAGTTTAATTTGTTGGCAGATCTCGTCGCAATTCTTCGACTTTAGTTGGCACCTTTGGCAAACTGATGTCCAAACAATTCTACATGGCTTTTCAACAATGGCTCAGAGCTATGGTTCAAATAGTGCCGAGCAGCATCACGATGAGCTTTTTCTGACTTGTGAGAGGTGGTTTTTATGTTTGAAAATAGTGCGCCAACTGATAATTTCAGGATTTCAACGCGATGCCAAATATATACAGGTAGATACACTATACTTTTTCATGAATCGTTTTAGTTCATTATCACATTCACCTTCAATGGTATATTTTCACCGAATATGTGTTTTGTTCCCCCGCCCTTTCCATTTCTTCCATTGGTTAAGTTGAAATCATAACCTTACTAGATTGATGACTATATCAGGATATAGAAATCTTTCTTGCTCTCAGGCATATGCTCTACATGCAGATATAAGAATATACAGCTAACTCTTTTCTCTCAGGAGATACAACCAGTGAAAGAAGTCTCTCCTGCGCTCTTGAACGCGGTTCAATCCTTTCTTCCATATTGTGAGTTTTTTTTGTGTGTTGGAAACTCTTTTCTCATCCATATGACCTGTCACCACACATATATATGCTATTGCTAACTTGTGTGGAGCCGCCTTGCAGATTCATCTTTTCAGAATCGAGATCCTAAATTCTGGGAGTTTGTAAAGAAGGCATGTGTCAAGCTGATGAAAGTGTTAGGCGCTATTCAAAGCAGACATCCTTTTTCGTTTGGAGATAAATGTGTTCTTCCAGTTGTAGTGGATTTCTGCTTAAACAAGATAACAGACCCTGAACAGTCATTGTTGCCATTTGAAGAATTTTTTATTCAGTGTATGGTGATGGTGAAATCTGTGCTTGAATGTAAAGAATATAAGCCAAGTCTAACTGGTCGTGTGATGGATGACAATGGAGTTACATTTGAGCAGAGGAAGAAGAATGCTTCCAACGCAGTTGGTGGTATTGTGTCTTCACTTTTACCCAATGAAAGGATAGTTCTTTTGTGCAACATACTAGTGAGAAGGTAATACTCTTAACTAACAGTAAGATATGTGAATTCAAATTTTTTGGGTCTCTCTTACTTACCAAATTGTGACCCTGTTAATTTCATATTATTTCATGCCTTAGTTCTTATTAAGTTAATTTGATAGTACAGAAATTAAATACCAATGCAAGATCCAAACAAAATATGAGCTGGGGCAATCTTGTGGACACATAATGATCTTGTTGCTGTACATCTATGTATCTCTGTTCTCAGTCTCTTCACCGAAAAGTTGCTAAATGCATGGAATAGATGAGAAGGCATTGTTACTCTCAGGGCCTGGTGGAGTTACTTTGAAAAATATTGCATGCATTAAGTCATTTGTTTTGGTGTGAACTGTGATAGTGTCATGTATTCATACCTCCACACAATCACCATTCTCTGGTCGTTGTATGAATGATTCCTGGAAGAAAAGTTTACTGAAATTTAACCATCAACATTCCAACAGGTATTTTGTTCTAACAGCAAGTGACCTAGAGGAGTGGTACCAGAACCCTGAGTCCTTTCATCATGAGCAGGACATGATTCAGTGGACAGAGAAATTGAGGCCTTGTGCTGAAGCTCTATATATGGTTTTGTTTGAGAACTACAGCCAAGTAAGTAGCAAACAGTCTTAAGCAATTCATCCTGTTCTGATTAGAAGTCTGCGAAATGTAACCCAAAAAAATATAAAAGAAGTCTGCTAATTGATATAACACTATAACTGATGTTTACACTTTCTGTCTCCATCATTGTGGACAGCTGCTAGGACCTATTGTTGTGTCCATCCTTCAAGAAGCAATGAATAATTGTCCCCCTTCTGTTACTGAAATAACTCCTGCACTACTTCTTAAAGATGCGGCATATGCTGCTACTGCATATGTCTACTATGAGCTCTCGAATTATCTTAATTTTAGAGATTGGTATGCTCTTGATCTTCTAATGTCTGGATTTTTCTTTTTCACCTCCTCTAAACATTTGTGTCTTGGACCTTCGTTTTGCCAGCCAGCAGAATGTGACAAAAGTTTTTGTTTAGTCAACTAATTAGTGTACCCTTCTTAATGATCGGATTATTTGGCTGCAGGTTTAATGGTGCTCTATCCCTTGAGCTCTCAAATGACCATCCAAATAGGCGTATCATCCACCGAAAAGTCGCTATGATATTGGGACATTGGGTTTCAGAGGTACTGTTGTTTTACTCTGGCTTTACCGTGTTTATGCAGCTAAGCTTGACAAGGCTTTGGAGGAAATCACATCTTATCTTTTATAAAAATGCATCTTAAGATTATAACATAATTTGCAAAATGACATAATATCTTGTCCATAAGTTGAGTTAATGAGGGCTATCCATCTAAAAGCAGATTTGTTTTTGGTTATTTGTAACAAATGGCTTTTAGGGTTAATTACCCTGTTGGTTTGTGTTCTCTTCTCTACCCTAGTTTTCGTAAATTATATTTCGGCTGAAAAATGGTTGGCTAATAATGGTATATGGTTGATGATTACAACCTTGCAGATTAAGGATGACACAAAAAGGGCAGTTTATTGTTCTTTGATCAAATTGTTGCAAGACAATGACCTCGCTGTCAAGGTAGTCTCATCTTTTGTTGCTTTTATCTTTCTGCCTTGCATTCAGAGCACATTCTCTTCCTTTCTTTCTTTTTGTATATTGGCTGGCTACCTCTGAGATCGTCTGTTTACTTATGTAGCTGGCAGCTAGTAGGTCATTGTGCTTACATGTCGAGGATGCGAATTTTTCGGAGCAAAGTTTTCTTGATCTTCTTCCAATCTGTTGGGAATCATGTTTCAAAATGGTCGAGGAAGTTCGAGAGTTTGATTCGAAGGTACTTGATGTAGCTGCATCAAATTCATTATACCATACCATTCTTGCCATTATACTTCCTTCGATGACTCATACAACTTTCTATCTTTACATCTTTTTTCAGGTTCAAGTTTTGAACTTGATTTCTACTCTTATTGGCCATGTTAGCGAAGTCCTTCCGTATGCACAAAAGTTGGTGCAATTCTTCCAAGCGGTATAATAGTATTCGTTCTGGATTTGTTATTTTGTGTATTCTTGTCTTGGTGAGCAATTTATGTCTTACTATCTATGTGCTTGACTTAAGAACAGGTTTGGGAGGAATCTTCTGGTGAAAGCCTTCTACAGATTCAGCTTCTTGTTGCACTTCGGAATTTTGTGATTGCACTTGGTTATCAGTCTCCCATTTGCTATAGCATACTGCTCCCAATACTCCAAAAGGGCATTGACATTAATAGCCCTGATTCACTCAACCTTCTGGAGGATAGCATGGCAGTAAGTTTCCATTTCATAACATGTATACCTTTCTGCTGCTGATAAAAATGAGATATATTAGTAACACTTCTCTACATATGCAGTTATGGGAAACCACACTTTCCTATGCTCCTATGATGGTGCCCCAGCTATTAGCATGCTTTCCCTATATGGTGGAGATCATTGAAAGAAGTTTTGATCATTTACAGGTGAGCTTTTTAAGTTTTCAAGGAGTTGTTTGATTCATTCATGACCTATATATTTGTGTGTTCAGATTTACTGGAACATGTGTGATCAATAATCCTTGAGACATTCAAATTACCAATATGCTCCAGAAAAGGTTGACTAACATCTTGACAAAAAATAGGTTGCTGTCAGTATCATGGAATCGTATATCATTTTGGATGGAGGAGAATTTCTAAATATGCATGCTTCAAATGTTGCCAAAATTCTTGATCTTATCGTTGGAAATGTAAATGATAAGGGGTTACTCTCGATTCTTCCAGTGATTGACATCTTGGTTCAGGTGCGTATAATTTGCCATTTTCCCAATTGGTCGTATCCTTTTTGTAATGGTGTTTGTGTTCCAGAGATACTTATTTTGCTGTTAAGTTTGTACCTGCACTGCTTATATTTCTGTATTACATAGCCTCATCTCTTGGTATACATAGATATTGACCAGTAATGGAATTTTTGGCATGATTAATGAAATTTATGTTATGGAATTTTTGGCATGATTAATGAAATTTATGTTATGGCTCTCTATATACGTGTTGCATGAAATTACGCCAAGTTTTAACTTCTTGATATGAACATGTGCTTGTGTATTGAGCAGTGTTTTCCTGTGGAAGTGCCCCCTCTCATCAGCAGCTGTTTGCAGGTGAAGTTCTAGTCTTCTTTTGATGGATGAAAAATCCATTTTCTTCCTTAATACATCTGATGGAGTTGATTTGTTCGTTTTCTCGCAGAAACTGGTGATTATTAGCTTAAGTGGAGGAGATGACCGTGATCCATCCAAGACTGCAGTTAAAGCGTCTTCAGCAGCTATCCTTGCAAGGATTCTGGTGATGAACACCACTTACCTGGCCCAGTTAACATCTGATTCATCTCTTTCAGTGTTACTCCAGCAGGCAGGGGTCCCAGTCGAAGACAACATACTCCTTTGCCTCATTGACATTTGGCTCGACAAGGTCAGTGGAGAACACATCTTCAACATAACTGGTTGTTCGAACAGATTTCTGGAATATTTATTTAATTTGTTTTATGATGGGCCTGCCGGAATCTTTCATGTCTTTAAATGGTCCTTTTTTTGAATCGTAAGCAATATTTCATTTTCTAACTGCTCTATATGATGAAATGCATGTTTCTTTTTCATTATCTGACTCACTTCAGTCTTGCATCTACTTGTGCAGGTGGACCATGCGTCTCCCATGCAAAAAAAGACATTTGCTTTGGCTCTTTCCATAATACTTACACTGAGAATGCCTCAAGTTCTTGACAAGCTTGATCAAATACTAAGGTACACGTTTGCAAAGTCGAGAGTTAACAGTTTGAGTTATGTATCTTTGTAATAAAATTGATCGTGTTTCTGGAAACAGTACATGCACCAGTGTGATCCTTGGTGAAAACAAAGAGTTAACAGAAGAAGAAACAAGGTCAGATACTTTATTTAATTGCTTACATAAGAAGTATATTAATTTGAAGTCACTTTTGTAATTTGTTATTGAACTGTTCACAACACTAAGTATTAAGAAAACATACAATTTATAATTCCAGCGGTGACATGAGTTCAAGCAGGTCTCAAGGAGAAGAAACCCCGCCAAGCAAAGAGTTACGTAAAAGTCAGGTAAAAGTTAATTTAAAATATGGGTTTCTTAAAGAACCAGCTTCTACAGAACCACTGATTTTTACACATCTTTTTTGGGGGGTTGGATCTTATTTAGATAAAAGTTTCCGACCCAATCTACCAGATGTCACTAGAGAAATCAACGCGTGAGAACCTTCAGACATGTTCTACACTTCATGGAGATGCCTTTAACTCTGCCATTAGTAGGATGCACCCATCGGCGCTTGCACAAGTGAAGCAAGCCTTAAAGCTGCCGTGATTAAATGTTTTTGCCTCTTCATTGTTTGTTTTCTTATCACTTAAAGAGCAGCAATATTCAAGTGAGTTTCTGATTCCTTGTTATTCTCCCTTTTCAGCGTCATTCATTAAAAAACCTCATTGTGTCTGCCTCGTCTATATTCATCAGCACATACATTTAAAGACATGAAATACTATTTAGGTGCATATTTGATACTTCTTTGGCTACTAATGCAAAGACAGTACATATGTTTGCACATATAATATATCATCAATCAATGTTCTGTCGAGAATGATGTACATATTGAGTAATGTAGTGGCATGTGTAAATGGTGATGAATCTTCACCATTTGATCTGACTCGCCACTTCATATCTGTTCAGGTGAGTGAGCTTTCTTCCCTTTATGGTTACGGATTTGACGGGTGTGTTACATAGGCGTGCATGTTGCATTGACCTCTGTGGCCTTGGCGGTTTGAGGAACTATGTACATATCTTTGGTGAGGTGCTTCCCTTTTAGCTGCCCATGCGTTTTTTGCCCTACAGAACAATAGGAGGCATTATTCAAAGACTTCTTTTTGTTTTCCTTTGGTTGAGTTTAATATGTCAATTGACTCAACAATTCATTCTTCAATACAACGTTTTTGCCCCAATGTTACAACAACAGAAAAGAAAAGAAAATATGAGGAATCAAAATAGGGAGATATTTTGACAATGTATCTCAGGTCTTTCCTGTCCCAAGAACTCAACAACATATGATGGGAACAGGTCGGAGTTATGTCAATTCTTTACTTTTTACTTTTTACTTTTTGTTCTTGTTGATTGTACTCATTCTCTCTAATAAATAAATCTTGGCTTCATAATTTTATACTCAAACTCAACCGCATCAGACAAGTGTTCACAATAGAAAATGCATATTTTCATGATATCCTCCATCTTGGTCGCGCAACTCTCTTCATTATAATTTTGTAAAAACACTTGATATTGTAATTAACAATGACGTCAAAATATATATGTTTAGGAAACATTTCCATTTCCATTTCCCAGCCTCTTGATTCAACATTTATGCACTGTGAGTTTTAGGCCTTAAAAAGTCTCTATGAAGAAGTGTGATAAATCAGCATGTCTCAATTGATCCCTTAATGCACTCTCAATTGGATACTGTCGTCTGCAGCAGACTCGGCCACAACAAAAACTGATGTTTTTTTTCAAGGATTCACAAGCTCCGCGTACTGAGAAATTCTTATTAATGGTGAACTTCCAAAAATGGGAATAATGTAAATTAATCACCTAAGTGTACTGCGAAGAAGGCTCTTTACTTCCGGTACTGTCGGATCTCTTTTACAACGCCATCGGTCAACGAGTCAACATCGTGATTCTTCCCGTAAAATTTCACAAAATTCATCTCCGGACTCATCAAGTACCTTCACCCACAACATGTTTTTATATCAAAACTCCAACCACCAAAAAACAGAGATCAAACACTACTGAACCAATTTACAAGATGAATAATACATTACAAGACTAACTATGTCAATTTTGAAATTTGAGATATATTCTGATGTGTAGATCAACATGAACAATTCTAAGTCTGCATGTTGTTGGTTTTTGTGCCGATAACTATAATCTTCCTAACAAAAACTATGTTAAGGGATAATAAGTACACTTACATGACTATAGAGTGATCAACGAGATAGTCTGAATCTTCCTCTTCAGTCTTCATGTAGTAAACCCGGTAAGATCGGGCCACCGATTTGATTTCTTCAGGGCTCCCGGTTAACCCGATCAATTTCGGGTGAAATTCTACAAGAAATACCAGACTATGAATTTTCATATCAAAACCAAATGAATCTTTCGGAATGAAAAATATTTACCTTTGACATATTCATGTACTTGCTGAACTGTGTCTCTTTCAGGATCCACAGAGATAAACACTGGCACCACGTCTACTCCCGAATTTTCCTCTGTGTAAATGTGATATAACCTTAGAGAACATATCCCCAAATGTAGAATCACGCAAATGAAAAAATGTTGGTATCTCACTAATTTTGTCAATGGCAGCAGCTAACTTAATAAGCTCGTCAGGACAGATATCGGGACAATGAGTGAAACCAAAGTATAAGATGGACCATTTTCCCATCAAGTCTTTCTCCGTCACACGTTTCCCATCGTCTCTTATAAGGTTGAATGGTCCTCCAATGGCTGCTTTTCCTGCAGATGGTCCCTCCTTGACGGCTATAGAATTCTTATTTATATCTAAATCAGCAAGAACCCAAGTCAATATACAAAGAAGAATAGAGATAAGAATAAGATGTTAGAAGATATTGTGATTCATCACAAATCAATGTGAAATCCCTAAGCATTTACTCAGTGATTGAAGCGATCAGCTCCTTTATCTTGTCAAGTTTATCACTAACCAAATCAGTTGTTTAACAAAACTCAAATTGTTTCAGATATCGTTTCCCAAGGGCTAAGGCCTGTGATCCTTAAGCTACGAACCATGTATTCAATTAGGAGAATTTCTACATTTCAGAACTCCATTAGCAAATGAACTCCATGATGCAAGACATTGAGAGCTCGCTCAAAATCCTATCAACTCAGTTTTACTGTTATTTCACAATCCAATCTAGAAAATGGGAGCTACGTAGCAAAATCACATAACAGTAGTCTACAGGATCAAGTTCTGATTACGTTATACGTAGATATCTTAAAAAATTAAACTCACCATAGATGAGTACCTTCGATATGACGTTTCTTTTCTCTATCATAATAGTAGACCAATCCAGCTCCAGTAGCAAACAGCAAGAAAAAGCTCATCCATGAAACCGGCTGCAATAAAACAAAAAATTCCCCAAGCAGATATCAGACCAAAACAACCATTTCTCCTAAAACTATTCTTCGATTCAATCAGAGAGACTTGTTCATAGAAACATTTACCCCTCCACGAACGTCTTTTCCAGAAGCACGGTTGTTTCTCTGATCTGAACCACCATCAGAACTCTCTGATCCTCCAGATTTCTCATTCTTAACGGAAGATTTTGTTTCCGATTTACCGGAGTCAGGTTTCGATGTAGTGTCAGAAGCAGAAGTACTCAGCAAACATCTCTGATCCATCTTCATCATTTCAATTCCACAGTTAAGTGAAAAAAACTGCAAAAGAGAGATCCCAATTAGAGAGATAAAAACAAAGAGAATTAGAAAATGAATCCAAATGAGAAGAAGAAAATGACGAACCGATCGAGGAAGAGAGAAATCTCCATGACGAAGCGCGTCGGAGATGCACGCCGGAAAAGGAGACGATGCCGATAGTAGATCGCTCGAGACGCGAATCCGACGACAAATTTGAATGGAACGAAGACGGCTTGCAGTTCTACATAGAGCAGACGCCATTGACGACCGCTTTTTCTCTCAAGTTCACAAATTCGCTGCTTTCCTACGAGCTGAGGTTTTACACTGTATAAAACCTTACAGTGAAACGACAGTGCTTATATAAAAACGTCAAGGTTTGCGAATTCCTTTTATACAAACACCATACCGTTCAATTTAAATCCCGTTTGGGTCGACAAGCTTATTAGTTTTAGATAATTGAAGCCCATTAAGCCGGTTTCGATCAATTGTTTTAGATATTTATGCTTTCCACCCCCAGTTTTAACATTACTATCACTAAGTTCCATCTCTTTTCATGAAGACCCAGTTGACTCAAAAGCGACCAAACGATATTTTGATTGATAGTAAACCAAAGTACAATAAAAAAAGAGTTTGCATTAACTTCCAAAAGAGAATAAAATAAGACCGAAACCTCAAAACAGATATGGCCTGAGGGGAATTAAACTACTTTTACCCAAAAACCCCATAAGCACTATTCACATCATGCAAGAGAGAGACTGGACTGAGATGCAAAAAGAGGCTGAAATTTATGATGAGTGCATGAGCCTTGCGATCATTCCTTGAGTCCAGCGTGCAGTAACCTTGAGATCTTCATCCTCTGATTCGAGACACTCATTGAGGAACTCACCGAAGAAGGTGAAGTTGTTGAACAACTGCTTTGTGTTCTCTCCTACAACATCCGCAAGATCACCCATTGCTGCAACCGCAGCTTTTGTCACACTCTCATCCCTGCTCTCAAAACAAAACACCAGTAATAAGTTTTAATTACGCAGCGAAACCAAACGACACAAATTGATTATATTTTCAAAATTTTCAGGTACGGACCTGAGGGGATCTTTGGATACTAGCTCAACAAACTGCAGGAGATGTTGAGCGTAGGGCATCATGAGCTCGGCTTTTGTGTCCTTGAACCCCTGTAGTATTCCGGAGTATGCTTCAAAGATGCTTCTCCGGAGTTGGTTTGCATAATCCATAAGCTCCTCGTCAAGGGTGTCCATCTGCGCACACACCTGAGCAGCCCCTTGCATGATCTGAACGGCTGGAGCAACATACCTTTCGAAATGAGCACCAATCGCCAGAGCAATGTCTCCAAAGCATGAGAACATTGGAGGCTTCACCGATCTGTGGAGTGCACCACTTTGAAGGTTTTGGATAAGGAGACCCATTATCTGATCGCAAAAAGGTAGGATTTTTTCATCCAAGGCACGGCATATGTCACCAATCACTCCTACGGTGATTGAGCAGACTTGGTATTCTTCAAAATTCTGCAGCCCCATCTGGAGATATTTGAAAAGCTCGGGCATGTATTTCACAAACTCAGCTCCAGTTGCATAGGCAAGAGCACCGATTGCAAGCATGGCTTCTTCGTGGACACTTGAACTATGGCATCCAAACACTCTTAAGAACAGCCTCATGATGTCATCTGCGTTCTGCATTATGATGGGTTTCGTATCCTCCCTGCCACTCAGCTTCTGGATTATGACTTGGAGAACACCACACAGAGAAGCCTGGAGTTCTGCCTGTTTCTCACGGTCATCAGTTGATATTATCGGGAGGTCCATAGTTTCAGCTAATTTTTTCATGATGGCAGGGAGGAGATGCGCTATGATGCTCGAGGCCTCTGAAAGGTTTGAACACCGGACAACCTCATTCAAGGTTTCATACGCAGCACCTCTTAGTTTAGACTCTGCCCCATCTGTACGCTCAGCAGCTGCAAGCAGATGTGTGATGATTTCTGTGAGATAAGGAGAGAGAAGAGAGGACTTTGCTCCAGAGTCTTCATATCCCTGTGCAAGATTGTATATTGCTCCGCAGACCTTCTCTGCAACATTTGGCACATCTTTAATTGATTCCAGTAATACACTCACAATTCTAGGGAGGTTTTCGGGTGATATAACAGAGAAGCCACTGTCTGGGGAGTGCAAAAATTCAAAGATACGGCTCAGAGTCCAAGCAGTTGTATCCCTGACATGGTTATTCCCATCCTTGGTTGCATTAAGGAGGAATTCCAAGCCAGCAGCAACCATCGGGGCAAGCTTATCAATTGTTGGGCCCTCCAAAATTGATCCAAAAGCATAAGTGGCTGCCTCCCGGCTTCGCCAATCTGGCGAACTTATGTTTTTTTCAACAAAAGGCATCACAAGAGGGACTATACCATCTCCAACCGTTCTGGCAACCAGGCCAAGGCATGTCCCGCCAGCCATAGATATGTTCCAGACATCGTCGTCATGGTCCTGATCCTCTTCCTGCTTCAGCAGAGTTTCTAGCAACATTTGAACTAAATGGGGAAGAGCCTTCTCTATGAAACAGGAGTGGGGAGGGGATGAGTCACCACTATCAGGACTGTCATACTCTTGACGGTCGATCTCTTCATCACAGATGGAACTCCAAAACTCAATTGCTTGGAGGGCAACACTCTCTTCATCTCCCTTTACAGCATTCGATGTGAGCTCAAAGAGTGTTGGCATGTATTGCT